CTGGCGGTCAGTTTCAGCAGCGGCTGAATCTGGACGCCAGTTCCGACTTACATACAGATTCAACTTAAGAACAAACCTACAGTCCCTGTCTTGTATGTAACCCGGGGACTGCCTGTAATTCACAAGTGAATGTTGCGTTTCCCTTGCAAATCCAGAGAACAAGTTGTTATAGCCTCCAGCTTCAGAATTATAGTCCCTTACCTCTTCAACAGTTCATGCTTTTAGTTCTGGATGGTCCCATTTCAATCTTTAGTATGTTAGCCAATGGGGTAGTTATCATGCAGGACAATCTCTTACTCTATCCCTGGAGTTAAGTGCATAGGAAGACAGTGGACTCCCCATCTCTTTTGGGACCCCCAGGAAATTGTAGCTGTGAGCACAGGCAGATAGACACACTAGCATGAGCAAAGTGTGGACTTCCCATGGCATGGATGGCCACCTGCATTCAAACCTGCATGATTCCCTGCATTTATACTCAAGGATTAGACAGAACTGCTGCCCATGACACAAATCCACTACACTACTATTTTCAGTGCACTAGCTAGAATGGAGCTATCACGTGTGGTCCACTCAGTCCAGGAGTCACACTTTTAGCTGTAATTATAGAGATGTCCTAATAAAATAAAGGAATAAACAACAAGTCAAAAGAATCCTTGGAATCCCCATGAAGGCAGCACTGCCTTAGTCCTAGGATACTGATTCCTTGCTGCCTTGAACCTTGTCTAGTCATTTACACAAGTGCAAATGGATGTAGAATGTTGTTATTCTGATTTGGGAGCATTATATATCCATGTTGGACAGGGGTAAACAAACCTTGCCAAGAGCGATGTCGGAAAAAATCCAATATACAGCTTCTAAATATCAGTGTACTGTGCTAGTAGCACGACTGCTATGAGTGAAGAGCTATTCTTTCCCATCAAGAGCTTATTCAGAACAAAAAAATATTCGGAGACAGTTCTGTGTTGTACTGACACACCTCTAAGTTTCTGCCGGTTTAGACTTCTGACCTTAAAATTGTGCACTCCTTAAACTGTGCCTTATTGTGCCAGAAATACATGCTAATAACTGACTCTAAAGTTCCACACATCAAAGATGACATTCTCATCTCTAGCCCCATCTGCGGCACAGATTCTTCACAAGGAAGTGTTCCTGGCCTTTTAAACTCGTATTAACCATGTATTTACTTTATGAAAGTTGGACAAAACAGTGTGAAAACGTAAGAGGTTGGCTGTCGAACTGCTGAGATGGCAAAATGTATACTGACTCTGAAATACATGAGAATCTTATTAGGACGCATGGTCATTCTGTGCATTAGTAAGGAGGTAAACATACTGAAGTTTATGAAAGTTGGACAAAACAGCATGATAAACATATTGCAGTTTATGAAAGCTGGAGGGCTTTATTTAGTAGTTACAGGACTATAAGGCTATGTCTACACTGCAAGATACTTTCGAAAGAGCCTCTTTCGAAAGAGAGCGTCTAGACTGCACGTTGAACTTTCGAAAAAGCAGCTTGCTTTTTTGAAAGAAAGCATCCAGTGAGTCTGGATGCTCTCTTTCGAAGAAGCCCTATTTACATTGAAGAACGCCTTCTTTCGAAAGAGGAACTTTCGAAAGAAGGCGTTCTTCCTCGTGAAATGAGGTTTACCGCCATCGAAAGAAAAGCCGCGTTCTTTCGATTTAATTTCGAAAGAACGCGGCTTGAGTCTGGACGCAGATGAGGTTTTTTCGAAAAAAGGCTACTTTTTTCGAAAAAACCCCTGAGTCTGGACACAGCCCTAGGCTAGCCTGTCAGCATTGTTTCTCTCATGAAAACTGGTCCAAGCTCTCCCTCAAACCAAACTTGCCACAAAATTGTCAACAATTTAATTTTCCATTATTGGCTAAGAGATTGATTAAAAAAAAACCCCAAATTGAAACTGGATTCAAGTGTCTAAGCAAGCATTTTGGCAAACAAAAGTTGTTCATGACAATCTAACATTATCTTGATAATGGTATTTAAAATGTCACCGAGTCTTGGACAATAAAGGGGAAAATCGGTCCATTTCAAGCCCTGCAAAACAGAAGAGAAAATAATCCTGCGGTGTTTTTTTTTTTTAAAAAAAGCTCGATAATAATGTTCTATTACTATCATCACGCTCAAAGCTTCCTCTGTGTCAACGCTGCTTCATGCTCGGCCCCTGCTGGTCCTACTGCTGCATAGGCAGATGGGTACGGGAGCGGCCCCCAAAACCCACCTCTTGGGGTGCAGCGGGAAAAGCGGCACAGACCCCCTGAGCCCACGGGCCAGCCCAGCGCCGCACCTGCCCCCTGCGGAGGGCTCGCCCGGTGCCAGTCAAGCCTCGAGACGACGCTGCGTTCCCCGGGGTCTCTTCTCGCGCCGGGGGAAGGACGGGCGCCCTGACTGCGGGCTAGGCCGTGGGCGGAGAGGCGGGGTGAGGAGACCCGGGGGGGAATCCCGGGCCCGGGCCGAGCGGCGCTCTCCGGGGCGGGCGGGC